TGAACATCGAATGCATTTGATGCATCGATGCACATACCATATATCGATGCACTCAGAGTTTTATGAAAACATCGAATGCATTTGATGCATCGATGCACATACCATACATCGATGCACTCAGGCTTTTTCAAAGCATTGAATGCATTTTATGCATCGATGCACTCTTAGTGCACCGATGCACTGAGAGTCCAACGGTCAAAATATTTAAATTTTACACTTGATGCACCGATGCACCTAGGGTATGCATCGATGCATGAGACGCTCCCATCTGATTTTATTAATTTTTTTTACACTTAAACGACTCTATTGACTCCACTAATCATCCCCAACGTTCAGAAGTGATTCAATGTGTATTTAAGCAAGCTTAGAAGCCATTGATCAATAACAAGAAATATCAAGCAACTAGAATCAAGAGAGAATCAAATTGAAAGTATCAAACCTCAAGTTTGAGCATTTCAAGCCTATTTTTCATTCAATATTCATTTTGCTTTCAAGAACACTTATTGTGCTCAATTGTATTTATTCTTGAGTGTTATTTCTTTGTTCTAGAATTGTGCAAACATATTTGCCTTGTGAGGTTTTTCTTGTAAGTTTGCAAATTTGTAATCTTCTCTTTGAGAAAAGAGTGTTCTCAAGAATTGGGGTATATTCTTGAGGGGGTTGTAAGGTTATCTCTTTGGCCTCAAAAGAAAGAACAAATTAGTGAATTTGTTGGAAAATCCTTATTGTGGATAGCTAAGGTAGTGGACGTAGACTTTGGTTGATAAAGTCAAACCACTCTAAATCGCTGTGCAATTACTTTCAATTTTCTGCAAAAGCTTCCACAAAATTTTAATTGCCAATTCACCCCCCTCTTGACTGATTTCGTCAATCGATTAACTCAACAATCCTCTTATACCTAGTATTTTAACCCACATTTGACTCATTTAATCATACAATCCACATATCATCATATAAATCATATAATACAATTCATAACACAAAAGTATACAAGTCACATGTAATATGTTTGTTATTATTTCTTTATTAGCCCATGTACACATGTGAGAACTATAGATATGTGAGTCTATAGATGTTGTGCACAAATGCTGTCACCATAGCTCGTATAAAATGCACCGAAGTGTCGCGTAGAATTGCACCGAAGTGCCATATAAAATGTCCCTAAGGATCGTAGAAAATTCCTTAAAGATCATATACATATACAAAGGATCAAGTATGTGTCTCAAAAGACATCACACATGTTCCAAGGAATACATATATGTCCCGAAGGACCGTATAGACCCTCGACTCTTGGTATGCCAACTATACCCTTAGCTCTCATGACACATAACATGGGCATTATTATCTGTCATTTCATATTCACACATTCATAACACACATCTCTTATCGCATGTCTGATCTCCTATAATCATGTAATCACATGGCTCATGTCATTTCTTGTGAAATCATACATATCATGTAAGACATATCAGACATGTACACACAAATCACTTCCATATAATTCACATGATTTATTATCTCGTAGATCATATCACATTTTCATACAATTTCACAAATCATTGTCATATATGGATATCACATTTGTACTTAATCACATAGATAATGTTATATAGCACTAAAATCCCACAGTTCCTATTTCGTAGCTTATATATATTGTTCTTATATCTTTTTATAAACATATAAACACCTAGATCATAATTCCCTAATTTATTGTACATAATCATAACATCATTTATATTCATAACCCCTAGCTCATATTTTGTTCTCTTATGCTTACATAGATCCTATAACATATATTGTAGCATACTAACATATATCACTTATATAAATTCATTTATATACAAATTTCTTATATTCTCTTAATTCAAGTTTACGTTACTCTTATAACCTTTTCTTATGACTTCATAGATCTTTACCATGTAATTTCTATATCATAACTCATATAAACACATCAATCTTTCTCATACAACTTATCTCCCATATGATTATCATTATTTATGTACAGATCTCCAAATTGATATTCTATTTTATATTGTCCTATAAATCAATGCTAGTTAGTTTATCTCACTTTTCATTTAATACTATAAGTAAATTATAATAGTTTATATAAACTTGACTCATGTAATTTATGTTTTGTTATTATATCTTCATCTAAACATATATGTACAAGTTCATGATCACTTAACTTATTTTCTTTCTATGGTTATCACATACAACATTTACTATTATACATGATTCGTGCCCTTATAACTTATTTCACATATTCACACAGCTCATAAGGTTCACATATAGTTACATATTTTGTTCTCATATAACCCATATCATATAAATTCACACCTCATAACATATAATATGAACAAAGCATATACACATAATACAAATTTAATCATGCTTCTATTCATGCAAACATAAAATATTGGAAACAGACTTATCACAAGTCTAATTTCCATATAATAATATGCACAACCTAATAATATGCACTCACATTGGCCTCACTAAGTTCCAATCCACTTTTATGATTTCCTCTCTTTCGATCGAATCTTAACTTGATAATCGTTCTGGAACTTGTTCATGTTCGATATCTACATAATTATACATTTTCAAGACAATTATTAGATACCTATATCTTGTAATTCGATACTAACAACTTAAACGAACTTAATAAACCAATATTCATTTCTTCCTTTAGGGGGGAATCGGTTCCCTACTATGGGGGGTATCGGTTCCCCCATGACATTCTGTAAATTCTGGTTCGTTTGAGGGGGTATCGGTTCCCCTTGAATAGGTACCGATTCCCCTAGCCCAGAAATCACATGTTGAGCTCGAAAATCACTTTATTTTCAGCTCAACACTTCAAATTTCACTACCTTTAATATTCCTAACTTTCATATACATACTTAAACTAATTAATTTTCATTCAATACCTCTTTAACTTAAAAATTCACTCCTCCACATAGCATTCAAGAAGCATACCAAATTTTCTATATGTTCTAAATCCAATTATATCACTCTAAATCTCTTAATTTAACCATTGACAAGTCAAATTCAACTTCACAATATATTAACTCCCTCTATTTCAATAATTCACTTAAAAACTCTTCACATTTAATCCTTTATAACTCATTCATTTTGGAGTTTCAACATGCTTTAATCTCTAAATAATCTTTCTTATCACCCCAAAAATCAAAACTAAGTTTAAAACTCAAGAATTAACCAGTTGAAATTAAACTTACCTTTGGCTCTTGGTTTTTACGCGTGAAGGAAAAAGAAAGATGAAGAGAATTCTGGAAACCACTTTGTTTCCTTTTCCCTTCCACGTGTTAATTATATAATCATATTTAAATATTTTCCTTGCAAATGACCCTTTTGCCCTTCAATTCACCTTATAATTACTAACATATTTTAGGCAATATTTCAAAATAAATCATTGAACTATTTTATTCTTCTACTTTAGTCATCAAATTCTGAAACTTTACAATTTAGTCACTAACCTGGTATTGCGGATGTTACATCTTTAGACTTATTTTTGGTTAATATCCAAATAAGTGTCCAAACTATACTCTTTTTACTCAAATTGGTGCCTACAATATTTTTTTAGTCCATCTAGGTGTCTAACGTTACAAACGTGATGACTTTAGGTGTCCGGGACGTAACGACCATTAGTTTTCTCCGTTAAATGACATTTGTCACAATATGGTAAATTTGAAATTTATTTATTTTTAAATATTAACAACATTATTATATTTATTAAAAATATCCTATTTTTTTAAATTACAAAATGTCTCAAAATCCATAAAATTCCCAAATCTTAACACTAACCTGCGTCGCTACCATTTCTAGCTACGATCATTTCCACCGATATAGTCTCTATCATCATCTTAATTATACGTCATAATAATTATCAACGATCGGCTATCAGAATCAAATCTCAATTTTTTTTCTAGGGTTTATCAAGAACTTGGGGGCCTATCTATTCCATCTCTCGAGCCCCGAAAAGAAAAAAAAACCCTCCCATTCGGACTCCATATCTCTTTTGACTCTATATATGTGGGCACCTGATATCTATGAGGGTTCACCCACCACAGTTACATCTTTCCTTTCTATTGCGCCTAAAATTTCTATTTCTGCTAATATTTCACGTGTTTCTATTTATGGTTCCTATGGAGTTACATTATAACAAATATAAAATGTCGATTCCTTGTGGATCGATCATGATTTCATAAGAGTTTTGGTCTCGGGGTAGGTGAGGTCAGGTAGAGCTTCATCGATGGCAAAGGGCGGCGATCGACGTGAGTTTAAGGGTTGAAATGAAGGTTTTCAAAGTTTTGAGGTTATTTCAAAATTTATCTATTTTCTTTTTCAAAATAAATATAATTTTATTTTTTTAATTTTATATAAAATTTTTAAAATTATCAGATTGTGACTTGTGTCACTTAACAAAAGAAATTAACATCATTGATGGTCGGTGTACCAAAAGTGGTAACGTTTGTAATTTTAGGCATCTAGATGGGCAAAAAATATTGTAGTCGCCTGTTCGGAAAAAAAACTATAGTTTGGGCATTTGTTTAGGTATTAAGTCTTTCTTTTGGGTAAACTTTATCTTTAATACCTAAACTATTATTTTTTGGGTAAATCTTTAGTTTAGGTTTTATTTTGATACTCTGTCGTTAAAAACTTAACTATGACATTGATGTTTTATCATAAGGTAATGTCACATTATTATTAAAAATTAAAAAATATCACATCAACAAATATGTTAATTTTTAACGGTGGGTATCAAATTGAAACATAAATTAAATATTAAGTATAATTTAAAAAATAAAGGTTGGTTGCTAAAATGGAATAAAATAATAGTTTAGTTGTTAAACATTCAATTTACCCCAAAATAAAACACATGCATTTATCTCCCTCAGTGCATCAACTCCCTTAAAATAGACCTTTTCCCTACCTCCTTTTCCTTCCAATCCCTTCGCTTTCCTTTGTCGCCGGAGTAAAGGAAAAATAACAGTTCCCATAGCCCTTAAACACCATTGTTGCCATTGTTCTTCTTTTTCTCCTTTTTTTTCATTTATCTCAACGTTTATCATTCTATAACTTCAATACAATGGGTTGAAATCTTTATCTTCTTCTTTAGCCAAAAACAAAGTCGCAGTCTTTTTTGTGTTCCTGTTTTTTTTTTCTTTTCATCTGGGTTTCTTTTTAAACACACAATGATCACCGCAACAGACCTTTACCACGTCCTAACCGCCGTGGTACCACTCTACGTGGCCATGATCTTAGCGTACGGCTCCGTCAAATGGTGGAAAATCTTCACCCCCGACCAGTGCTCTGGCATCAACCGCTTCGTCGCTCTCTTTGCAGTACCCCTACTCTCTTTCCATTTCATCTCGACCAACGATCCTTATTCCATGAACTTGAAGTTCATAGCAGCTGATACTCTTCAGAAGATCATAGTGTTAGTGGTGTTAGCTATATGGTCGAGGACAAGTACCAGAGGCTCATTGGAATGGTCCATCACTTTGTTTTCACTCTCGACGCTGCCCAATACTTTGGTTATGGGTATCCCTTTGTTGAAAGGGATGTATGGGGAGTTTTCTGGGAGCTTGATGGTCCAAATAGTTGTGCTCCAATGTATAATTTGGTACACTTTGATGTTGTTTTTGTTTGAGTATCGAGGAGCTAAGCTTTTGATTGCCGAACAGTTTCCGGACACTGCTGGGTCTATTATTTCGTTTAAGGTTGATTCCGATATCGTTTCGCTCGACGGGAAAGAGCCGCTACAAACCGATGCTGAAGTCGGTGAAGATGGAAAACTTCATGTAACTGTCCGGAAATCGTCGAGTTCGAAGTCAGAGATCTTTTCTCGACGGTCTCATGGTCCGAACTCCGGTCTCGGGTTAACCCCGAGGCCGTCAAACTTGACCAATGCGGAGATTTACTCGCTCCAGTCTTCGAGGAACCCGACGCCTAGAGGGTCAAGTTTCAATCACACTGATTTTTATGGGAAGAACATGAACAATGTGAGTCCGAGGGAATCGAGCTTTGATGAAGAGAATGGGGTTGGGGTGTTCGGTAATAATCCTGTGAGAACTAATGGTGGAGCTTATCCTGCTCCGACTAGTGCTGGGATATTCTCTCCCGTTACAAAGAATGCGACGAATGGAAGTGGCGGCGGCGGTGATGGTGGGAAGGATTTGCATATGTTTGTTTGGAGTTCGAGTGCTTCTCCGGTGTCGGAAGGTGGGATTCATGTCTTTAGAGGTGGAGATTACGGCAATGATGGATTAGCTCACCATAAAGGTATAATCTTGGTCATCGTATGTCTTTTCATGACATGTTTTGATTATGAAAATGATTTATGTAGTTTGATCTTCATGTTTAGAATATGATGATTATGGTAGAGATGATTTCACCTTCGGTAACAAGCCGGAAACGAAGGGTGTTAGCCATGAAGGACCGGTGCTTGCCAAGCTTGGTTCGAATTCGACAGCCGAACTCAACCCGAAGGCTGAGCCGAAGCCGACCGCAATGCCCCCTGCTAGTGTCATGACCAGACTCATACTCATCATGGTGTGGCGTAAACTAATCCGGAATCCGAACACTTATTCGAGTTTGATCGGCCTCACCTGGTCTCTTGTTTCGTTCAAGTATGTAAAACTAGTATTTTCGCATGTTGTTTGAACAATAATTTGGCTGAATCCGGATTCGATTTCATTAGTTTTCTGTGTTGAATTTCTGCAGGTGGAATATTGAAATGCCTGCTATAGTTGCTCGTTCTATAGCGATCCTCTCCGATGCAGGTCTCGGAATGGCCATGTTCAGCCTCGGTAAGTCGATTATGGCTCCGGGGAAAAACCGTTCTCGAAGTTGTTCTCAAGTTCATCTCTGTGTAGGTTTATTCATGGCACTTCAGCCGAGGATAATTGCATGTGGAAAGACCATAGCTTCCTTTTCCATGGCAGTCCGGTTCCTAATTGGTCCTGTGGTCATGGCTGCTGCCTCAATTGCTGTCGGCTTACGAGGCGTTCTTCTTCGCATTGCTATCGTGCAGGTAATATCTGTTACAGTTATGGTTACGGTCTATCTAGAATCGGATATCTGAATTGTTGAGTTTTCAGGCAGCTCTTCCACAAGGGATAGTACCGTTCGTCTTTGCAAAGGAGTACAATGTTCACCCTGATATATTAAGCACAGGGTAAGTTAATGCAGAATGTATATAAATCGGTCTAATTATAGTTTCAGTCCCTCTACTAGGCTGTAATGAAGGATTTCATCATTGATTACATTCAGGGTCATATTTGGGATGCTGATAGCTCTTCCTATAACACTGGTTTACTACATCCTACTGGGGCTATGAAAGCTGACACAGGAAGGGAAGGGAAAAGGACTAATTTAACCCCATCATTTTGAAATATTCTTTTGTGGGACTGATTAGTGATATTATTACAGTGATCTTTTTTTGACATTAGGGAATCCTGTGGGATGAGCTATTTTTTTTGTGTTTTCTGCCTTTTTATATGCTTTTTTGTTACTTTTTGATGAAAGAAAGTGATGCCCAGCATGTTTGTAATTCAATTCAGTACATTTTGAAGGCAGAAACAAAATTTTATGTTTTTGGTAAACTGGATTTTGGTCCTTGTATTCTGCTTACTTTCGAAATTTATATAATTTGAGAAATAGGGACATTTTTTTCTTAAATTAGTTAATCACATTTTATCTTTATTAACAATTTTATTCATTTGATATTATTAACGAATAAAGAATTACTTGGTCCTTGAACTTGATAATATTTTTTATTTGGTCCTTAAAATAGTGTCTCCTAAATCCTAATACTCTTTCAAGATATCCTATCTTAAAAAAAGGACAAAAAAGTAACAAAAAAACTCAAATTCAATAGTAATGTAGAAAAAAGAAGTTCAATGATTAAATTAGTAAGTTTGTTAAATTCAGAGGGTTGAAGTTGTTTTATTCCATACGTAAAAGTAGTGAAAAAATTGAAAATAAATTTTTGGTAGGCAGACCATAAAGCTACTGGTAATAAAAGAGACAACCAGCTGTTACTGTGGACCGGGTTTTTGTCTGTGAATCGGAATACAGATTCTCGGTTCGGTGTTGAAAAGATGTCACGGTCTATGCTCCATAGCTGTCTTTAGGTTAGGTTTTGGTTCAGGTTAGGACGGCTCGTTCGAGAACCTATCAACCATCAACTTACACTTGTACTACTATTTATGTTTTGAACCACTTTATATTATTTTTTGTGTGTGGTAAATTGCACTGATGATCACTTTATTTACTATATATTATTTTAGTTATTAATTTAAAAAATATTATTTCATGTCGTTAACTTTCGTTGTTGTAGTACCTTTGTAAAATGATTAAATTTTATATAGATTTTTTTAGATATAAAATTAATTTAGTTTTAGATTTTAGATAAAATATTAATTTGACATTAAATTTGATAAAATATTAATTTGACATTAAATTTGATGAAAGTTCTCGTTGTTGGTCATCGTTGTGGATGATAGTTAGATTTTATAATTCACAGCTCACTCATATTTTATCTCTTGAACATGAATCGAATGTTCGTTTCACTAAAAAAAAATTGAACTTCACGAATCTAGTCTAAAATCTCTTTAGAAATAAACTGTAAAAATAAATTTATGATTATATTGCTTTAAAATTAAATTTAAATCTTTATCACTATTCACAATAAATGATATAATAATAATATAAATTTAAATCTATGTCACAACCCTCTTATGGGTAAAACATACATCCCTCGTCAAGGTATGGATAATCATCTCTGGAGTAGAAAGTTTATGTTTGACCTTAATGGAAAAATAAAATGAAGTATCTGACATTGTATCTTCACATACAGATAATTACAATATTATCCCTTTTTTTAGGGTGATAGATACATTGTATCGTTTCAGGGTTTTTTTTTATAAAAAATTTCGGAGAAAGTTACAACCACTAGGAAATTCTTAATCTTCCCTTCTCGAAAAGAAGTGAAATTCCTTTTTTCTTTTCACAGGTGAGAAGATTGGATTTAGTGGAAAAAAGAAGACCGATAATAACTCATAAACGTTTTATGAATAATATTATTTGTAATTTATTTCAAATTTTTACATAAGAATTAAAATTTGGATGAAAAGTATAGGAATGGATTAGAAGGGCCGTTGCAGCTTTGTCTTGGGCCAACAAAAGAACTAAAGGAAGTACAATTAAAGAGAAAATTTGTGATTAAGCCCAAACTTAATTATATATTTTAAACAAGTTTAAATGCACAAATCATAAATAGTATATATTGCTCACGAGCGTTGGTACACGTGGTTGGAATTCATAAATTTAAGCTTGTAATGTTAAGTTTGAATCCTACCACCATCACTATTGGTGGACAATCTGAAAATTCCTATGTAAATTTCAAATGGGTCTTAGATATACACTGGCGCTAGACTGGAGGAGACAATCCTGACGTAAACTTTTTTGTTAAAAAAAGTATATGTTTAATAATTAGAATTAGAATTAACTCATACTGGTTTTTGCATTTTTTTCATAAATTAAAAATATTAATAAATACGTTCAATATTTTACTTAAAATTAAATACTAAATATAATTAGATTATTCCATAAGTGTGAAACTTAAAAGTACACTATAACTAAAAGAAATAAAGATAAAAGGTATAATATGAAAATTAGCTGTCAACATTTATGAGAGGATTGATGAAGCTCAATTGAACAACCGAATAATTGCCAAGATGGGGTGAATTGGCCAATTGAAAAATTTTGGGTATGAAGGAGAAAGGATAGAAAATTTGCACAATAATTTATAGTGGATCGACTTCTAAATCAAGTTTACATACACTACCTTAGCTCTACACTAAGGATTTTTAACAAATTCACTAATTTGTTCTTTCTTTTTCTAGACTCAAGAGTAACCTTTACAAAACCCTAGTTTTTCAATGGATAAACTAAAATCACTCCCTTTTTACAAAGGTTAACCTTGTGGTCGTGGGATCGAGTCCCACGGTGGACAATTCATAATTCTGATTGTCGGAGGTCTTCCATGGAAGCTGCTCTCAACCCGTTGGGGGCAACCTACTACCTTACCTCTCCCTCACCCCATTACATATGGGAATAGGGTCAGCTAATTTTTTAAAAGATGTAAACAAAAAAACCTCACAAATGTAGGTGTTTACAATAATTAAGCTCACAAGAAAACAATTAAAAGATTTGCAATGAGCTCAGACACACTTATGTATAAGAGAAAAAGAAATATAAAGAGTGAAAGTGCTTTTCTTTTGATATATATTGCTTGGGTTGGTGTTGTAACCTTTTTCAAGTGTCATCAACTTGTTTTAATATGTTGGAATGAGTTTTTGGTAGTTTATAGCCATTGGGGATGTTTTGGAGCCGTTGGGGATTAATTTTTTGCAAAATAAAACTGCCCAAAATGGAGTATCGGTACTCCTTTAATGAGTATCGATACTAACTTTGTAAAATTTAAATAAACTGGCCGTTGAAGACCTTTGGGCTTTACCAGTATCGATACTATGATTCATGGTATCAATACCACTATGTAAAGTAGTATTGATACCCCTTGAGTATTGGTACTTATTTTGCATTCTGAAATTTAAGCAATTTGGAAAACAACTAGTAGTATCGATACTATCTAGAGAGTATCGATACTTTTCTTACCTTTGTATCGGTACCACATGAACAATATTGGTATTGTTCATGTAGTATCAATATTGTAATAACAATATCGGTACTACGTACCCAGAAAATTATTTTGTGCTCAAATTATAGTTTAATGGACTTTGAATTATTTTTGAAAACTTTGAACAAATTCAATCAAGCCCAAAAACATTTTGCCTTAATTTGTTATACCAAAATATTATAAAACATGGTTCAACAATTCACTAAAATGATTATTTTAACCTTTATTCTTTTTCTTTGAGCACTTTGGCCTCAACGTTTTATTTTTGGGTAAAAAGGTCCCTCCGTGGATAGAAACAATTGGTTAACAAAGGGTTAATGCTCCAAAATAGGGACCTTTTACCCTAAAATGATATAGTGGGGCTAAAATGCTATAAAAAAAATTAAGATCAAAGTGACTATTCAACCACATGTTAGGCACATTTTTTACCTGAAAATGAAGGATTGATGTCAAAATATTTATAAATGATAGGAACTAAAATAATCATTTTGATAAATGTTGATGACCAATTCTGGCATTATGCCAAGATAAAATAAAAGAATTTTAGAAAATATTCTCTATTAGATGATAATGTCTCTTATCTTTTTAATATAGTCTGTTTAATAACCAACAATATTATGGTTTAACGGGACGATGCACTAGATTATTTAAACAATGTTAGGAGTTTAAATTTTGGCGTTTACAAATGAAGCAAATTGAGTTGGGATGATTATCCCTCTAATTTGCCTCTACAAAATTCGATCTGAATTACCCAGTCAATAGATCAGATACTAATGATTTTTAAAAAAATAAATTCTAACGTATAATATTAATTTTAGATTATCAAACTTATGATATCAAAACCATTAATTTTTAACGAACATAATTTTCAATAAATCGTGAAACAAACCCTTAATATTTATTATTTTCACATACTCATACCTTATCCGATATTTTTTAATATCATAACAAAAAGTAAATTCAAGGTGATTATTGCTTGAAATCATAATTAGTTTCTTAATTATTATGCATGTACTTTAATGTATACTATTTATTAACCTTGATGTTACATGTATACTTTATCTAGTGCTTCTCATCAATGTTAGGAAAAAATATAATATTTTCAAATGTCACGATAATATGAGTAAAAATCATTTTTCTATGAACATAACAAATAGTTTTAGTGATTAGAAAGAATATTATTCTTTTTAGAGGTTATAAGCTCGAACAGTTACGTTTTTATGGTGTAAGCGCTTTGTATCAATAGTTAATAAATATTCTAAACAGAAAGTACCTTATAATCAACTCATACTATTCAATTTTTTTTTTTATAATTATCGACATCTGATTCCTTATTAATTAATCTGGAATGAGTATTGTTAAGATTTATTAAGGGGATAACCCTTCATTCATAACATCGTGATTCAAATCTCTTACATTATTTAAAGAATTTGACGTTTAATCCACTAAATCATCTAGTAATTAAATTTTTAATACATTTTAATTATAGAATGGTACATTTATCGAATAAAATAAGAAGACATTAAGAAATTAATTACTAACATACAAATTAAATGTAAATTAAAATTGAAGAATAGAAAACAAAATTATGTTATAGGCATAATACCATAATTAGTCCCCAACATTTATCAAAATGATCATTGTGTCCGCATTCTATTT